ATGTCTTTAATTTCATGTGAAAGAACCAATTGACTTCAAATCTCAAGTGCTTTAGTCATCAAGTAAAGTTCAGATGATTTCATAGTATGCGGGATACCTCACCTAATATAAATTTTTCGTCGTAGATGGTCTTTGATAGCGATAAGATTATCAGGCAGAAGTGACAACGAGGTTAAGAACCATTGGCATAGCCACCTAAAGAAGCACGTGGGGTGCAATCATGAGGAAAAATCTGAGTTCAAAACGAAGGCTAGTGGTACTTGTGAAGGAGAAACAACAAAGTATTTCGAACCTGAAAACCCTCCGCTTGGTTTTTCTGCTGCTTCCCCCAGTGATAACTCAGAAAACTCACCACCCATCTACAATTCATCTTCAGCCTTTTCCTTAATTTGGAGGATCAGGCGCTGCTAATGTTGCATGGGAAATATTTGACGAATTCGGAGATTTTTGGACCCAACCATTTGTCCCAGAGAATATATATGACCAGGACAACTGTTACAGCCTCTACTATTCAGCACATCATGTGGATACTGCTCATACCTCTTCGATAATGCTGAATTTTTGTGCCAAGTGATGCAGGGATTTCCTGAAGATCCTAAAAATGATATATAAGCAAATGGTGATTCTACCTTATATTTCTTTTGATGGGCTTCATAAAAAGAGGTTATAAGGTGAATTTTAAGATTGAGAATTTAACCAATGCCATTTGGCCAAGTGGTACCTGCGTGTGCTAGTGGGGTGTGTGTTGTGATGCAGTTTCGAGCCCACCCTATATAATAATAATTAAAAAAAAAGATGTAAAAATTTAATTATAAAAGAAAAGAAAGTGAATTAGCAATGGAATTTACTAATGAAATTTTTATGGCTCATCAAATTTTCATCATTAACCAATTTAGACATGGAATCTGTTACTAATTAATTAGTGAGGGTCTTTTTGACAACAGAATTTTTTTTTTGGTAGTGTGAAGAGAGGAGAAGAATTAAGAAGGAATTAGTGTCTTAATTAACTAGCCATACCTCTTATTTAGATCTAAATCCCATTAATGTTCTTCTCCTTCTTTTCAATCACAACATACTTAGAAAGAGTATAACTCACCCTTTTGCCTTGAAACTGGTTTTGGAGAGGTTAATTTGTTGGGTTTATTGCATGTAATAAATGCGTATACTTATGGTCATTGATTACGCTCCTTTTCCGTCTTCTTTAGTATATTTCCCTCTCAATTACATTTATAAGATTAATAACTAATGTATTGAAATTAAATACGGCATATACAGATTGTTGCGGTTGAACTGATGAGGATGGCTAGCTATGGATGGTTATTGGAGGAATGTGTCAAAAAAGCACCTGAATTTCTTGTCATTCCTTTCCAAATTTGAAATTTCATTGGCACACTAATAATTAACTATCCTACTTGTAATGTGTGCTTGTGTGTCTGCGCCTTGCTCTTGCAAATGGCGAGGCCACTCCATCCATAGTGTCGTGCTTCTGGTTACTGAAGTTTGTAGACTTGCATCTGTGTTTAATAAAACTGAAGTTTATGAATCTGTATGTGTCAAAAAACAATCGAGCGCTTTTGATCATTCGTCCATATTTATGTATCCCAAAAGCAAATCAATCCACCTATCATCAATAGTTTTATGAACTCAGACCATGATCTAGTTCAAAAATCCGTTTTCTAGTTTCACTGTAACAATAATGTTTTCCAAATCAGCTAATGATCTCCTCCCACATAAATAGATAAGAAATATGGAGTGAGTAAACAAGTTATTCTGAAATCACCTAATTTAATTCATCATCTCGTTAAACATGCAATGCCAATAATATATAAATCAAAAATTAAGTGGTTAATGAGAGAAACAACATGCAAATATATAGAAGCGAAAAATTAAATGAATTAATATGCAGATTTTCTTTAAAACTCAGTCTCTATTCCACGGAAAAATAGAGCTCTCTCAGCATTTATTTTCCTTCCCAAATACTTCAAAATGGAGTACGCCTCTCTAGGAAATCTGGAGAAACTCCTCTTAAAATCTTTAAAAACTGGAGCAAAAAACGGTGACTTGTCTTGACGCTAGTTTCTTAAGTTGCAGCTACCGCTGAACTTTCTCGAATACTCTGTTTCTTTTCTTTGGGGGGGGGGGGCTTGGGTTCTCTCTTTTCTTGTTCTTTTTCTTTTTTTTTGGGGGGGGGGGGGGAAGTGGGGTTCTCAACGTTCGTAGAATGAGTTTGATCCTTAAAATGGTAGTTGAGCAATTATTGTCATAAAAAAAAAACAGAAACATGAACGTGAAGACTTTAGAACAACTACAGACTTCTCCATAATATCATTTGTCACAAGTTACGAGTTGAAGTTTAATTGAGGGATATAACAAGCGAAGTAAATTTAAAAAAAAAAACACCTATAACTGTTTTCTTTGTTTGCTTGTTTTTAAATCTATGTGAAATGGTGGGATACAAGAAAGCGTGATCTTCGTATTTGGCGAATATATTTTGGAATTGAATGGACTGTTGTGAAATTGGTCGATGGGGCAGCCATAATTAACTGAATCTGAAGAGCTCTCATGACTTGCAGTATGGGAGTTCCGTGGAGGAATATAATATAATGTTGGTTTCAGCCCAAGCCATGGATTTCCTTCACGTGAACATATTACAAAATCTACGTCTTCTCACAAACTTCGAACACCTTTGTTGGTCAAAAGAAATATCTTTTAATTTGTTGAGGGGCCTCTTCTCTCTAGAAGGTCCAGTTCGAGCCCTTTTTAGGTGATGACTTTTCTCTGTTGACAACTTTTCACGCCCAATATTACGCCAGTAAGCATTTATCAGCAAACTTAAGATCCAAATATCACAACTTTATTTTCGTCTAGGGACGCCCTATGTGATGATGATGAGATGTTAAGATAATCATAATCCAAAAGGCGCAGAAGGTAACAGCTTCCAATAAGGTGTTTCCAGGCAATTAATTAAATTGAAGCCTTCTTCCTCCTGGAACCCTAATATACTGATTGACGATCGTCAAAATAGGAGGCCTCCATCACCTGACTCCCATAAACGAAGGCCTTTGAATATACTCCCTAATTCTCACATGCCTGGGAATGACACTTAAAGCATTAAACTTATCCTGAATCGATAATTTTTTTTTTCCGAAATTACTTTCAACTTAAGAGGTTGGAATTTGAAAAAAGGCTTATAACCCCTGCACATAATTATTTTTCTATTTTTAATCTCTTTCTTTCGCACACATGCGCAAACAAAATTCACCTTAGGCATTTGCTCTTCTTAGTGTAAGACAACCAACTTGAAATTTTATTATCAAAAGAGTACTTCTCTCGAAAGATTTTTTAATTAGCTAAAAAATATTAATAAAAGCACCTGGGAATGACTTACCCTACAAAACCTATATATGTATATATTCCCCCTTTTGGGGACAAAATAGACTGCTTTCTTAAAGCCCTTAATTAAATCCCAAGTCACATAATAGATTAAGGAATTTGGTCTAGCAAAAAAAGCTAGTCCTTTACAATGTGGTGAACTAAGGTTCAAATTCTTGTTGGGAGAGTTGCACAAACTTTGTGCTTGATAGTACTTATATAAAATTGCCTCCAATAAAAGGATACCAATACTTAGGCAAAAAAAAAAAAAAAAAGACATGAATTGGATCCGATTGATCATCACTCATGACCTTCAACAAGAACTCCCTTGTATGTATGTGAACCACATGAATTGTTTAATAAGATTCGGGTACTAGATGTAGTTTTACTCAAACATAAATATTATTTATTTATTAGGTATAAATACGATTTATGAAACTTTCATACATATATATCTCAAATTTTTTTCTTTAAGAACTGAACGCAATGTATTAGTGATTTTATCTTTATGTTCTCCAAAATTCACGTCCTAATCAATCAAATATTGTTATTCGAATCCAAAATTAAGGCCAATATTTAAAGATAGATTAAAAATCTAAGAATAAAAATAATTTAAAAATTAATATATACACACACACACACACACACATATATATCTAGGACGGGACACCCCGTTTATCCCATCCCAAGAAATTTTAGGATACGACTGTCCTATCCCGATGTAGTTGAGATTGGGACGAGCAATTTGAATGCCCCTCCTAATATCTAGTCCATATAAAGTATATTCTAAGATACTGTTTGGTACGAAGTATTAAAAATAAAAAACAGGGACTGTGATTGAAATTGAGAAAATAATGTATAGTATGAGAGATTACTTGTTACATGGATTAGACAAACCCATATATGTGGGATTGAGGAATACCTCGGGAGGAAGTGGTATTTCCCAATCCTATTTTCGTGGGTTTGCTTAATCCCATGTAATAAATAATTGCTCATACTAAATACTTTTAAAATTTTTTTCATTGCAATTACAATCCTAATCCCTATCTTTTATTTTTAATATTTCATATCAAACAAGACCTAATTGCACAGAGGAAGCACCCTGGGAATCAAGTGAATGCAGACAAGGTTTTTGATTAAGCGTCCCCGAAGTCAAAAAGTAAATTGCACCACTGATAAGTCGGCGGGTTTTTTTTTTTTTAATTAAAGACATGGACCGAACCTACGGTTTCGATTTCTTTTCCGAATGACTGGAAACTTTGCTTCGCAAGTGACGATCCTGATTCATTTCTCACAACACTTTGGACTCCTAATGGCCAACATAAAATAAACCACCAAAAGTAAAGGTGAAGTGTTTCTTCTCGGTTCAAAAGTATACACCCATATTTAATTATTTTATCAGTTAGTAGAATTTTACATGAACTAGGAAACATACGCATATTTCCTTCTCCATGTGGTCTAATCTTACTGCAAGCTAGGGCTTCAGTATTATTCGGTGGAGCCGAGGTTGCTATATGTGTGTGTGTGTGTGTGTGTGTGTCTGCTGCCTTCTATAAGTGTATGTGCTCCCTTAGCTTAGTTGAAGTCTTGTCTGAAAGAACCAAAACTTGGTAATATAGATATACGTGATGACGAGAAGGCTTTACTATGACGAAAATGGAATAAAGAGAGGTGCGTGGAGTAAGAAAGAAGATGAAAGGTTAAGAGCATATGTCGAGAGACATGGCCATAGTAATTGGCGTCAACTCCCCAAACACGCTGGTAAGTATACAAACACACCCACACACACACACTCTTAAACTTGTTAACCAAAACGAACTTGTTTGTTTCAACCTCATTAACTTCAGTCTCTAATGAAAGAAATACAAGTTTGGATGTGGATCTTGATGGAGTTTCAGCCGCAATTACATACAGGTTTATCAAGGTGTGGAAAGAGTTGCCGACTTCGCTGGCTAAATTACCTTCGCCCGGGCGTAAAGCGTGGAAGTTACACCCAAGAAGAAGACGAACTGATCATCAAATTACATGAACAACTTGGAAATAAGTAAGCATATGTTACCTCTGACATATATGCTCTCCCGGATTTATACGGGTTTTTAATCCATCAAGATTCTTTCCTTATCACATACTACCTCCAGAGCTTAATATAAGATCCACTTTATTTAATGAAAAAATTGACCTACAAAGTGGATCTTATATGAATCTCTTTGTTATTGTTACATAAGCATGAACTTCGACGCTTGCTATATAGCTAGATCCCATAATATTCGAGAAGTTTCATTAGTCTGTTAGTATGTGTCTTTATGACTCTTTCAGTTCCGTGAACATGGCTAGGAAAACTTGGGAAAAGTGTCAACCATTGGCATAGCTACCTAAAATTTAAGTTGGATGATCGAGTTTTAATTTGTCTCCTTAAAATTCCCGATTTTATGATTCGATCATTGGGATGAAAAGGGTTACCAAGGCAAAAAAAAGTCTTTAATTATATATGAAAGAATCAATTGACTTCAAGCTCCAGTGCTTTAAACATCAAGTAAAACGGAAGATGGTTTCATATGCATGCCCAATATATATCTAACATATATATCATTTGTCATCGCAGATGGTCTTTGATTGCCAAAAGATTTCCAGGGAGAAGTGACAACGGGATCAAGAACCACTGGCATAGCTACCTAAGGAGGAAAGTGGAGTGCACTCATGAGGAAAAATCCGAGTTCAAAACGAAGGCCAGCGGTACTTGTAAAGAGAAACAACGAAGTCTTTCGAACCTGAAAATCCTCTGCTTAGTTTTGCTGCTGCTTCCTCCAGTAATATCCCAGAAAGCTCTCCACCCCTCTGGAATTCATCTGCAACCTTTTCCTTCGGAGGATCAAGCGTTGCTAGCGCTGCATCGGAAATAATTGAAGAATTCGGTGATACCTGGACCCCACCATTTGTCCCAGAAAATATATACGACCAGGATAACTATTATAGTCTGAACTTTGCAGCAAATGAAGCAGACTTGGATGAATATTATTCCTCGTTCCTCGTCAATAATGCTGAGTTTTTGTACCAAGTGATGCAAGAATTTCCAGAAGATCCTAAAAAGGATATGTAAGCAAATAATGGTAGTTCTTCGCCTTAGTTTTCTTTGATGGCGCCTCATACCAAGACGTTACATCGTGAAGTTTAAGATATGGGAATTTAATTGCAGAGAGAGGAAGAATTGAGAAGGAATGCTTGATTTAATTAGACGTATCTCTTATTTATATCTAAATCACATTTCTTTCTTCTCCGTTCTCTTCAATCAAAACACACTTGTAGAGAGTATAGGTCACTCTTGTGCCCGGAAACTGGTTATGGTGGAGAGGTTAATATGTTGGTTTTATTGCCTGTGATAGAATGCATATGTGTTCATGACTCCTCCTCCTCCTCCTCCTCCTCCTTCTTCTCTCTCTCTCTCTCTCTCTCTATATATATATATATATATATTTCCCTCCCAATTACATTTATGAGAGTAATAATTAATGTATTTAAAAGTATATATGGCATGCAAATCCTTTTCATTCCTTCCACTTTCACCCTGCCAATCCGAGTTAAATCTTGAACCAGCCCCGCGTCCCCCTTCGCTACTCGCGCTTGTATCAGGATATTCAGTCTTTAGAACTCTTGCATTTCCCTGTTTCCACAAGGACCAGCAAGCAACTCTGAACAAAAATACACCAAGCTAAGGTACCTCCTTTATCCTCTGTTCTTCCATGATATTTCTCTGGGGCCATCTATGGAGTGTCTCTGTACTTGCTGTTGGCTGGTTTAATATTGGACTGGGTGATACCTTCAGTGACCTAGTTAAGCCCTCCCAAATCTCCTTTGCACGAACACGTCGTTTATGCTTGTGACTGTTCAAGTTTGTGAAGCTATCTGTATGTATGAAAAAATCGAGCGCTTTTGATCATACGTCCATATTTATGTATAATAAGTTAGTAGAATATCATTGTCACGTGAATTTATCGCTACATTAAGTGATGAGTACTAAAATTGTGTGTCGTATCGTAATCTGAATCTGGACATGCTAAAGAGGATTTTGCTCAGAACACACGCACACGCACTCAAAGTTTTTTCCCCCCTCCTTTGCTAACAGAACACAGGATTAGAAGTTAAACTTAATTGTCGCGTACATAGAGGAATAACTTTTATCTAAGACGAAATTTGTATACTGATGAAGATTTCAAACTCTCCTTATAGAAAAAACTAATTGAACTAAATTAAAAAAATGTCTATCCCAAAAAAAATTAAAGCATTTGAAAAAAAAAAAAGTTGCCATGTTAGAATCGGAGTCGAGCTAAAAATTTGAGATCATGAACGATTGTCCTCTTCATTTTATATGACACTAATCATCTTGTTCTTAATGCAAAGCTTATAGCATGTCGTTATAGCTGAATATATTTACAAGTAATATATTGAGTCATAATCACCTATAGTTAGAGAGCTTTCCTAATTAACTAATCTGATCCATAGAAGAGCTGATTTCAGACTTGATGAAAAACATGTATCCTAATGAGACTATACATGAGATTAGTAGTTAAACTTCTGTGAGTCCCAAAAGCAAATCAATCCACTTATCATCGATAGTTTATTGAACTCATAGACCATGATCTAGTTCTAAAATCCATTTTCTAGTTTCAATATAACATTATAATGTTTATCCCCTGCCACTTAAAAATACGAAGAATGCGGACTGAGTAAGCTAGTTATTCCCAAATCATCTAATTATAGTTCACCTCGTAATTACAATGTTAAACCTGCAACGCCAACAATATATAAATGATACATGGCAATGCATTTTTTTTAAAAAAAATACTTTCAATTAATTACATGTCTCTCCCATCTCTTTTTTCACTCATTCTCTCTCCAACTCACCTTTTTGCATAAATAAGAGTGTTTTTGAAAAATAAATTATTTTTATAGATATATATTATTATTTTTAACCAACTTTTTTTTATTTATGTACTATCTCCGGACCTAAATATAAGATCTAGATTAAGTATAATAATTTATACTTAAATCTAGATCTTATATTTAGGATCGGAAGTAACATCTTAGGGCCTGTTTTTCTGTTTTATATTTTTTCGTTCTCAAAAAATTGTTTTCCAAAACATGTTTTGGAAACAAAAAATTGTTCTAAACAATTATATTTGAAAAAAAACATATCAAGACCGAGGATGAAGCTTCGATATGAACTCAAGTCTTTAAATGGAGAAAAAGTCATCAATCAAATATACAAGAAAAGGTTTCCCTATTTTCCCAAAAAAAAATAAAAAATGCAAAAATAAAAACAAAAAAATAAAAATTGTTTTGGTTTTTTTAGTTTTTAAAAATAAATTTCTGTTTTTTAAAACACTTAATTAAAAACAAATTATCAAACAAATTATTTGTTTTTTGGTTTTCTTAAAAACCAAAAAAATTTTCAGAAGGAGAAAACAAATAAGGTCTTCGTTATTTGTATCTTGTTTAAAAAAGCGGAGGGAGTAACATTTGAAAAAAATGTTACCAGTCAAAAATTAATTGAGGTATTTAATTTGGCGAATATATTATGGACTTTGGAGATGGGTGTTGGGCAGCCATAACTGAACCAGAAGAGGGCTGACTTGCAATAGGGACTTCCTGGAATGTGTGTTTCAGTCCAAGCAATCGATTTCGTTATACTTTGGCCATGCACCTGCATATATTATGAAAACTAGTACTAGGTTTTCCCCCAAAAATTCCAACACCTTTCTTTGCGTTGGCTTGGTCAAAAGAAACACCTTTTGATGGTCAAGTTCGATCCTTTTTCAGATAAAACCATGCAATGAACTTGTATGATAATTAGGCATGGAAAGAGGTAAGTTTAGACTTTCTCCTTAACTAGTCAGACTTGTTTAGTAATAAGTAGCATCGAAGAAACACCACCAAAAATTTCAGAGGTTAAATTTTGAAACCTCTTTATAAAAGACGGCCTACAAAAACAGAATAGAGTCTAGAAGTCGATTGTACATGGAAAGATGTTAGGCACCGACATCACTCATTCAAAACTAATACAGCTTTTTATTATATTTTAATGACCCTAAAAAAGAAATAAAAATAAAGAAAAAGAAAACTATTTTTAACAAAAAAAGAAGAAAAATAAAGGAAAATAATTTATTTACGTAGTGGATTTGACTTAGAATAAAAACTTAAGGCATACATATCTTTTTAGAAGGATTAAAACCCATGTAGTTTGGAGATAAAAATGCATGTCACTGAGTTGGTGTTTTCTGGAAAAGCATTTGTTTAATTTATTAAAAAATATTTTTTGTTGGTTGATATTTTTTATTTAAGAAAACGATCTTTTTACCTTTATTTGAAAAAAAGAAAGTTTTTGAAAAACTTTTGAATTAAACTTTATGAGGAGATTTTAATAATCTCACATTTTATTTTTTATAAAACATTTTAGATTAAGTTCTTGAGGATATTTTAATAATTTCACATGAAAGATTAATCAATTTCGTCTAAGGAGGTTTTGAAAACCTCTCACGGCATAAAATTATTAAATCATTGCGAAAACAATTTCTTTTTTTTTCCTCTTGAAAAAGAAAATATTTCCATTTTTTTTTCAGTCATAGAAATTGGCAGAAAATTTCAAAGAGATTTTTTTGAGACAAAGTTGAAAATAGGCAAATATATCTCAAGCTATACAAGTTTAGCCCAAAATTAATACAAGAGAATTTCTTCAAATGAGTAAAGAACAAGAAACAATTTCTTAATCAACATATCATATAATGAGCGAAAGCCACGATGAAAACACGTACTTCCAACGCTCTCCAACTTCTGCACAATACAAGTGAGGGAGCCAAATAATAAAGTGAAGAATAATGATAATTAATAATGGAAAGGCGCAGCTCGCATGACACAGGCGTAGTACGGACTAAAACTTGGATTGTAACAAGTGTGCATATTCAAAACAAGAATTTAGTTATAACTAGTCCTTTCGTATTTTTAACTCCCTTATATAGCATATTCACAACTAGCTGGCCATAGCCTTTTGAGAATTAGAAGTGTTATGCATTAATAAGCTAAATGATCATTTACAATGACGATTTGATCAGGGATCTACAATTCGCTTATAATATATTGATTTATAACTAGCCTTTAGAAATCAAAGAGGGGGAAAAAGGGAAGAGTTTATGTTTGTGGGGCAAATAAAAGTAAAAGTTTGGGACCCGATGATGATTCATTTTCTTGGTTCAAGTGTTGTTGCTATAATGAAGAGGAGTTAAGATAGCATATTCCAAAAGTTGTAGATCCATCCAGAAGGTGAGAACTTCCAATAAGGAGTTTCCAGGTGATTTATCCTTAGTCGTATAGGCAATCAAAAATAATAAAGAAAGGAGTATGCAGTACACTGATGCAACCTAAGTGTCGAATCACTTGGTCTAATAACTCTCTGAATTTCTAAGTAAAATTAACACAATTTACTTGTAGAACATATAGAAGAAGAACAACATTCAGATTAATACAAAAAGATCTTTGTTGATTTTCAGATGCAGTATTAAAATGAGAATGAATGGAAACGCAAACGGTACTATGGAACTCAAGAAAAACAATCAGAGTGTCAATTCTCCCAAGAGTTTCGCTTTATCTTCATCGCATTACCTAATCTGGAGCTAAGTATCACCGAATATGCAGAAAATTAAACACCCTTAACTGAACAAAATTCCTGCTCATATGAATCAATTAATCAAATCACGAATTCTCAAAACACTGAATCAGAATAAGGTTCTGATTAATTTCTCAATTCAGAGTGAAATACCAAATTCTTTGCAACATTCAATCGTACAACAATCACCTCAGTATTTGAAACAGAAAACATCTGAATCTATTCCTAATCACTTTGCAACTCACAAAGCAATGAAGAATTAAAAGAACTAGATGAATGTGAGACTCCCTCTTAAATTCAGTAGCTCGGATTCAGCTCTGCTCTTGGGGGAATATCTGGAATTAGCTACACATGATGGCGACTTCTCCTCCTTCAAACTTAGATTGTAGCTTTGCCATCAGAATATCAGATTCGGTAATCACCACTAATCCTTCGGTCGACGTTCTACCAAGATCCGAATGAATCAGCACCCGTGGACGAATGTATCCTCTCTCTCTCCGGTCGTTTGGCTCAGATAAAAATCCTTCTCCTCTCTCCACTTCCTTTTTTCGTTATTAATCTTGTTGCTGTAACTGATTGCTTCGCTCCCCTGAATTTCTGAACCGTCCCCTCAGTAATTGGAATTTTCGGAACTAAGTGTAAGTTTGCGTGGAAACTCTTTTCCATTGGTGATAGAAATCAGTTTCTATCAGTGATGGAATTGCTTTTCCTCTGGACTCTTTTTTTCCTTTCTCACTGGAAATGTGTTTCTGCCACTTTATGTTTACAACTCTGCCCCTAGATTCAGAACAATAACCCAAAAGTAATATCCAACTGTGGAATTTCATAAAGCTATTAAAACATCACAATTGCTTAATTCTTTTGCTCAAGTGCATCAGCATTTTATTTATTTATTAGTGCAATTAATGCTCAATCTATTTCTTAAAATAGCCTAAAATCTACATTCCAAACATATGAAAGAATATGATTTATCACCAGGCAATTATATTGAAGCCTCCTTCCTCCTAAAAGTAAGGGGGGAAAAAAAGGGGATCAGACCAGCTGGTTAGATTGGAAAAACCGGTAAACTAATCCAAAATCCAATCTGGTTTAACCAGAAAACCGGTTACCTGTTGAACCGAGAAGTAACCGATCAAGTTGGTATTAAACCAATCAACTGCCAGTTTGGGGAGTTGACCGGTTTAATATTTTTCCACTCCCTAAACCCAAAATGACATCATCTAATGCTTAAAAAAATCGAATGACAGCGTTCGATCAATTCCCTCGGCCCCTCCCTCCTCTTGGCCAGACCCCAAACCAGATTCCCCTATTCCCATCTTCATTTCCTTGAGTTTGAGTGCGCCATCGAGTGTTCGACTGTTCTCCCTTGTAGCGCCGTTGAGTTTTCTAGTTCTCCCTTGTAGCGTTGTTGAGTTTGAGGGTTTGACCGTTCTCCCTTGCAGTGCCGTTGAGTGTTCGATTGTTCTCCCTTGTAGCACCGTTGAGTTGAGTGTTTTGTTGAGTTCGAGTGTTCGACCGTTCTCCCTTGACCAAGATTCCCATTCCCTTCTTCGTTGAGTTTGTTCTAGTGTTCAACCATTCTCCCTGCCCCAGATCCATTGCTGCTCGCCTTGCCTAAAACTAAAAGGCATCCTTCAATCCCTGGTTCAATCAATCAAATTCATACCGGCTTTGGCGTATTGGGTAAGTTCAAAAAACATTCCCTTCCCTTTTAGGTAGGTTGTGATTTTAGGAATAAATTGATAAATATCTTTGCTTTGATTTCTGCCTTTCTCCATTGGCCGAGAGGTTTGGGAAATAGTAAGTGAGGGAGAGATGAAAATCCCTAACTAAGTCTAGCTTTTTGAGAGTTCTGCATTTATGCTTTGCTTTCTACCTTTCACTGAATTCATGGATTGCCTTTGCCTTTCGAGTTTCTCCACTGACTGAGAGGTTTGGTTCTACCTTTTCACCGGATTGTTTCCTTAAAACTAAAACAAATAAACAATGTTAGAAGTGTTAGAATGATGAATATGATTGATTGTTTTTTGCTTTCTTCACTGAAGCTCGTTGCTATGTAACTAATAATTAGAAGTGTTAGAAATTAGAATGATGATTGATTGATTTATGCTCTCTATTACTATTTAGCTAATAATTAGAAGTGTTAGAAATTGGAATGATGATTGATTCATTTTTGAGTTGATTGATTGAGAATGGCACACATCAAATTCCAGTGTGTGTGATACTGTGATGTCCAAATTGGTGGTCTGAACTAGTTCATGAAAGGTTGAAACTTGTGGTTCTACTATTTGTGTTTATCTAATATCTAGGATCATTTTTATTAATTTTTTATCTGTTATTTAGTAGCAGTGATGGATATTCCAAACAATCAAAGTTCTACAAATGAAAATGTCACTCAATCTTCTACTCCCAATACCAAAACTTCTACTCCTACATCGACTTTTTCATTGCATGCTAAAACTGATCCTACATGGGTACATGTTACCTACAAAAAAGAGGGGACACAAACTGTATATACATGCCTTTTTTATGGCAATAATTATAGAGGAGGTGAGATAAATAGGATGAAGCAACACCTTACTGGTGTCACTAGTCAAATAGCTTCATGTAAAAAAAAAAGTTTCATATGATGTACGTCATAGAATGACAGAGTCTTTGAAAGAATGTTCAAAGAAAAAACTATTGAAAACATAGAAAAAGAACTTGAAGAAACCCATGTTGATTCTCCAATTACCATGTAGTGTGAAGAAGAGGAGAGCTCTTGGGAGTATGGATAATTATTTTGCTCTTATGACAGCTCCTGATTCCCAACCAAGCATTAAAAGTGCATTAGCAACTAAAGAAGCAAAACACAATATGAAAATGTTGATTGCTAAATGGGCCATTGTGAACTGTATTCTATTTAAGGCATTTGATTGCCCTCTATTTCAAAAAGTTGTGGATGGTATTGCTTCAATTGGGCCTGGGTTTAAAAACTCCTAGTGCTTATGATTTCAAAGCTAATTTATTGAGTGATTGGAGAAAAGAATATCAGTTACTTATTGATAGCCATCGAGCTAAATGGAAAAACAATGGTTACATACTCATGGTTGATGGATGAACTGATGTTAGACAACGGACTTTGATAAACTTTTTAGTGTATTCTACACATGGTATGGTGCTTGTGAAGTCTCTTGATGCATTAGATTTAGTCAAAGATGCCAAAACTCTATTTACTCTATTTTGTGAAGTCATTGAGTGAGTTGGTCTTAAGAACATTGTCCATGTAATGACTGATAATGCAGCCTACTATGTAGCATGTGGTAGGCTGATTAAGGAAAAGTATAAAAATATTTATTGGTCGTCTTGTGCTGCTCATTGTTTGAATCTTGTATTGAAAGACTTTTTTAGCATGCCTCATGTGTTAGACCTTGCATCAAAGGCATCAAAGATAACAATTTTTGCATACAACAACCATATGGTTTTCTTATAATAGCTAAGGAGAAGACCGAGTTGGAAAGAAATTATGCGTCTTGGTGCCACAACATTTGCTATTACATTTATTACATTGCATAGCATATATATGCACAAAAATGACTTGCAAGCTCTAGTTGTTAATAAGCATTTTGTGGATCACAAATTATCGAGCACTGAAGTAGGAAAAAATTTTAGTGCCCTAATATTAGATAATCGGTTTTGAAATGACTGTTATCAAGTTGTAAAGATTGTGTCGCCTCTCATAAAATTGTTGAGAATTGTGGACTCAGGCGAGAAGCCTTTATTGCCTTATGTTTATGAAGGCATGCAAAGGGCAAAAGTGGCAATTAAAAAGATGTTTAAAAAGAACAAAGAGTAGTATAAGCCCTACATAAGCATCATTCAAGCTCGATAGGACAAGCATTTGAAGACCAATCTTCAAGCAGCGTCGTATTTGTTGAATCTTGCAATCACATATGATCTTGATTGTCCTAGCAAGTCAAAGTTAATGATGGCATTGATTGATGTGATGGAGTCTTACTCAAATGAAGATGTTGATGGCTTTCTGGTAATGAAACAAGTGACTACTTATCGTGAATGCAAGGAATCTTTTAATAGACCCTCATGTCAAAAAGCTGTACAAAAATTAGACCCTTGTAAGTGTTAATACTTTATAGTATATTTATGGTTATTTACTAATTCTATATAATATTGTATACTAAACGTATTTTATTATGTAGATGAATGGTGGACATATTATGGTTGTTCACTTCTAGAATTACAGTGTGTTACAATGCGTATTCTTAGTCAAACTTCTGCTTCTTTTGGTTGTCAAAGGAATTGGAGCTTGTTTGAAAGAATTCATGCAAAAAAGAAGAAACAAGATTGGAACATAAGAGGTTGAATGATTTGGTTTCACAAACTATAATCTGCGATTGAAGCATAGGTAATCTTGAAAATAATAAATACTTTTAGGCTTTTATTTTAATTGATTTATATTTAATTGAAGTTTTGTTTGTCATTAAAGGAATACGTTGAAGAAGAAAAGTTATGGTCTACTTGACTATGAAAACATTGATATGGTGGACTTTTGGGTGGCTAAAGAAGATCCTGCTCTAGAGTTTGATGATAGAGATGGGGCTACACTTGAAAATACCCTTAACAATGAAGGCGCTGCAAATTCAACAACTCTTGAGAGGAATAACGAAGGTTATATATATATGTATTATATAATAAGACTATTCTTAGATGAATATATAATTATTTGCATAATCATTAATATTGCTTATTGTCTTATATAGGTGATGAAGACATAGATATTGTAATCCTCCACCTTTGCACGATGATATTGTTACTCCTACTTTTTCTTGTCCAACTGTTGATGTCTCAGTCTATGCTATTGCCAATGATCTTAATAATGATTTTGATTTTCTATAGTGATGAAGAAATGTAGTTTATTAATGTTCGCTGGTGCAATGAAACATTTAAACTACTTTTGTAACTTCTTATATTTTTTTGATTGATTATTATTTATGAATTTTGTTCTATTTTAATGTTATGAATTAAATTATATTATTTTAATATGACTGATACGACCCCAGTTCGACCTCTAGTCCCACTAGTGACCCTTTACCCACTGTCTCGACCTTCCAATCCTGTTTTTGTTTTCAAACTGAAACGATAACATCCCATTCCA